TAATGTCATCATAAGTTATGGGCATAATACGATTAGAAATATCGCCCAAATGTGATCTTGGTTGTGCAGGAGGTCCCGACGGCGAAAGCTGAGGAATACGTGATGGCTTTTGAATATTAGATGCCTTTGAAATCTGAGGTTGAATATTTGACCTTTTGAAAGGTGGTTTGAATGGTGCATACAATTTTGACGTATGCGATAGTTTTAGCGATGGTTTCATCGATTGGCTTAACGATGGTCACGACAATAGTTCAGGTGATGCTTCAGGTGGTGCTGGTGCTTCAGTGGTGCTGGTGCTTCGGGTAGTGCTGGTGCTTCGGGTGGTGATTCAGGTGGTGCCTCTGGTGGTGGTCCTGGTGGTGGTCCTGGAGATACTTCTAGTAGTAAATAGTAATATCAAAAAATGTCAAAAAATAGATATGTAAATAATTAAACAATAAAATTCACAAATACCTTCGTCATTGTCATCCTCTTCAAAATCCAAGTAATTCTTTGCATCACCAGGAAAATAATTAAATTCTTCATATGGAATATTATCAAAATCCAAAGGGATTGGCATTGACGTATTCCTAAGTTTTTGAATATCGTTCGCGCTACTATATGCCCGAATCCCTTCTCTGCTACGGTGCCCAGAGAATTCCATACGTTTATCCTCTGGAACTTCCAAATCTTTCAACCTTTGAATTGCCGTACGTCGAAGAGAATGGTTACTGATCTTACGACCGTTATCGAAGTTAATGCCCGTGAGTTCTGCTATTTTTACCATCATCGTGTTCAACTTGTTTACACCCATCCGGGTTTTTTTGAACCAAATTCCTTTATTTATATCTAGCAAAAAAAAAAACAAAAGCGTTAGTAACATAATAGATAAAAAAAAAAAATTCAAATCCATAAACGCTTTAAACCCTTTGACGCTCGTGTAGCTTCTAAAAAGATTGATGCACAAGCACCCACAGGACGCAACGATATCATATGCAATATGTCTTGTATAGGTTTAAACCGATTATTGGCATTGTCGGGCGGAATAGGAATCTTTCGTGCAGAGCTTTTCCCATGTTTATTGCGTTTTAACGCCCCACGTTGATTATTCTTCTCATGATTAAATGTCAGATAAAGTCCATCATCGTCACGGCGTGATATGTCCTTAAAGTTTATTCTTTCGGCATCATCACCGCGAAGACCACAAAGAAGCGACAGCCAAAAAAATACCTGTCTCACCAAACCTTCATTAGTATCAGTTTGCATTTTATCATGGTCAAGGATTTGAACAATCTCTTCAGCACTTAACGCAGACGCCTGATCCGTTTCTCCCAAACCTGCATTCTGAAGTTTCTTCATCTTACCATCAAGTGTTCTCAGCGCTTTTCCAAAATGGTAAGAATCCCACAACCTACACGGCTTAATTTCACTGTTTTCTTTCAAGTATCGAGCTATAGAAGCATAGCAATTGTGTATACTTTCTGCTTTGTAGTCTTTGCCGTCCAAACGTTTCAACCAAGTAAGGAACCTGCAAAGAAAGTTTTCCAATTCCGTTGCCGTTTCAATTTTTTCAATACCTTTGTCATACTTGATAGTTACTCAAAATCTGT